TTCCTGAGTGACGAAAGAAAGGAAGAGAAGACTCAGACACGTAAGTCCCTACCCAAGATGTCTGGAGGTTGGGAGATAGAAGTGAAAGGGACAGAAGCTAAATGAGTTCGGAAGGTTAATGGAGAAAAAAAGATCACGGTCACGTTCAACATTAACAATGGTATCCTGCCAACATCTGATGGAGAGTAGTCCTCCTCACAGGGCAGAAGGTTGAGGAACAAGAGCCTGAACTGACCTCAACACCTAATTCTGTGGTTGAAGTTATAAAGAGTGATGGCAACAAGGCCCTTGTGCTTGGCTGGCATTATCCGGAGGATGAGGTTGGACAGGAAGAAGAGGAGAGTGACATCTTCTCCATTAAGGAAGTGAGTTTTCAGTCCACTGATGAGTCTGTCTGGAATGACATAAAGTAGATCCTCAACACAGATTCCCTGGACTGGGCTTCGTATGACCACTGAATGGATTTCCTTGCAGACCGAGGAGTGGGCAACACTTTTGTGGGTGAGCTGGTGGAGTCAGCACGGCCCTGGAGCACCGAGAGTGCATTAGTTTCCTGGAAGACCTCAAACGTTTTGTTAAAAGCCAGAAAAGAGGAGCAGACAGACTCTGAAAACCTTCGTTTTAGGGCAGGTGAACAAAACCTACGCTAAAGGCCAGACATAGGCCCTGAAATGGATGATAACCTAATATCATGGGGAGGGGGAACTAAAATTATTTCTCTTAGATTTCTGTTTACTATTCATATATTCTTTATCTAAAATTTTTATTTTTTTCCCTTCTTATATTTAACATGATGGACAATAAAATCAGTTTATCCCTTGCAAAAAAAGAAGAAGAAAAAAGATGTAGAAGAGGCCGTGGCACCAGGCCCATCATTGCTGATGTCAGATGGATCCTGGCTGAAAATAAAGAATACCAGAAGGATGTCTATTTGTGCTTTATTTACTGTGCAAAGGCATTTGTGGAGTTTAACAAGTTGTGTCTGACATTGAGAAGAATGGGAATACCAGAGGACTTACTTGTGCTCACGTGAAACCTATACCTGAACCAGGAGACTGCTGTGCGAACAGAGCAGGGGAACACTGCATGGTTGGTTTAACATTGAGAAGGGAATGTAGCAGGGTTGTATTGTCTCGCCACACCTATTTAATATGTATGCTGAGCAAATGATTTGAGAAGCTAGACTCTATGAAGACGAATATAGATTGGAGGGAGACTCATCAAAAACCCGAGTTATACAGATGACACAACCTTGCTTGCTGAAAATGAGGAGAACTGGAGGCATTGTAGAGGATCAAGAAATGCAGCCTTCAATTTGGATTGCATCTCAATGTCAAGAAAACAAAGATTCTTAGCACTGGACTAACAAGCAACATCACGGTGGATGGAGAAGAGACTGAAATTGTCAACAACTTCATCTTACTTGGATCCACAATTAATACCCTTGGTCCCAGCAGTCAGGAAATCAGGAGATATACAGCACTGGGAAAGTCAGTAGTTATGGACCTCTCCAAATTATTGAGGAGTAATGATGTCACTTTGAGGGTGAAGGTGCATCTGACTCAGGCCACGGTCTTTTTAATTATTTTCTATGCATCTGAGAGCAGGACAATGAATAGGGATGGCAGAAGAAGAACTGACACCTATGAGTTGTGGTGTTGGAGATGAGTACTGAACAGCCCAAGGACTATCAAAAGAACAAATAAATAAGTGTCAGAGGGAGCACCCAGAGAGTTCTTTGGAAGCAAGAATACTGAGGCTTTACCTCAAGTACTTTGGGCATGTTGCTTGGAGGGGTTATTCCTTGGAGAGAGATATGATATTCGGAAGGGTGGAGGTTTAACGAGGGAGAAGACCCTCAACCAGGTGAATTGACATGGTGACTTTCACAGTGAGCTCTAGTGTGTCAGGAAGATGGCACAGGATAAGAGGGAATTCAAATCTGCTGTTCATAGGGTCACTAGGAGTCATACTTGACTCAACAGCGCCTAAACAACAACAACAAAGGAAAATGAAAAATTAAGGACTACAGTAGAATTGTCAGGGACTTCTCCAAAATGCTACAGAGCAATGATGTCAGCTAAGGTGTGTCTGATCCAGGCCATGGTCTTCATAATTACATAATTATCATAATAATTATCTTCTTAATTATCAGAGAGCTGGACAATGACCAAGGATGACAGAAGAATTGATGACTGCGTTGTGGTGCTGGAGAAGAGTATTGACTGCCAAGAGTGGGTTTGTATTGGAGAGAGTGAAACCCAGTTTATTTTTTTGGAGGCAAAGATATTGAAGCTCTGTTTCACATACTTTGGACCTGTGGCCAGGAAAGACCAGTTCTTGGAGAAGACCATCATATTTGGAAGGGGAGAGGGACAGCACAGAAGAGGAAGACCTCAGATGAGATGGATTGACAATGGTAACTGAGATAACAGAGGCAGGTTTGTCAGAGTCTATGAGACTGGCTCCGGATAGGGCAGGATTCAGAGGTATTGCACATAGGGTCACTATGAGTCACAGCTGACACGATGGCACATAACAACAACAACAATAAAGGAGAATTAGGAGGAATTAAGGAAAAAGCCTCAGGGATTGATGAAATACCAGTGAGTGTTTGGGGAAATAGATGCTTTTATCAGTCTCTGTCAATAAATATGGAAGATAGCTACCTGGCCAAACGACTGGAAGAGATCCATATTTGTTCACATTACCAAATAAGATTACCAAATAGAATGTGGAAATTAACCACCAATATTACTAATATCACATGCAAGTAAAATCTTATCGAATACCATTTTAAAAAATGGCCAGAAACTGCCAGAAATCCAAGCAGGATTCAGAAGAGGTTGTGACACCAGGGACATCACTGTTGATGTCAGATGGATTTTGACTGAAAGCAGGTAATACTAAGAAGATATTTAATTATGTTTTATTGATGATGCAAAGATATTTGATTGTTTGTATCATAACAAATTATGATTCCATTATGAAGAATGGAAATATCAGAACACTTAATTGTGCTTCTGTGAAACTTCTACATAGATAAAAAAGCAATTGTCAGTAGAAAATAAAGGAACACTGCATGTTTGAACATCAGGAGAGATGTGATTCGGGGTTATATCCTTTCTCTGTATCTATTGGATCTATATACTGAATAAATAATTTGTGAAGCTGAACTATATGAGGAAGAATTTAGCATCAAGAATGGAGGAAGATTCATCAACAACCTGTATTACACAGATGACCTGACCTTACTTGCTGAAAGTGAAGACCACTTGAAGCAGTTAATGTAGACGATCAAAGATTACAGCTTGCAATACGGATTGCATCTCAAATCAAGGAAAGAAAACCCCTCACAACTGGACCGATAGGTAACATCATGATAGAAGGAGGAAAGATCAAAGTGGCCAATGTTTCATTTTACTTGGATCCAAAATCAGTATTCACAGTAACAGTAGTCAAGAAATCAGAAGATGCGTTGCATTTGGGGAAATCTGCTGTCAAGGACCTCCTCCTAAGTGCTAAAGAGCAAGGATGTCAATTTGAAGACTAAGGTGCACTTGGTCTGAGCTAAGGCTTTTCATTTACTTCCTGTGTATCTGAAAGTTGGACAGAGAATAAAGAAGACTGACAAAGACTTTGAATTGTGGTCTTGCTGAGGAGTCTTGAACATTCTATGAACTGTCAAAAGAACAAAACTGTTTTGAAAGAAGTGACACCACGGTGTTCCTCAGAAGCAAGGATGGTGAAAATTCATGTAGTTCACTTTGGGCTTGTTCTCAGGAGGAACTGGTCTTGGGAGAGAGATGTACTGGTGAAGGTAGAGGTTCAGAGAAAGATAGGAAGACCGTAATCAAGATAGATGGACACAGTGATTGCCACAGTGGACTTGAGTATGTCAGAGCTCATGGGGACGGTGCTGGAAAGCCAAGTTTCAGCTATTATTCCCAGCGTCTCCATGTGTTACAGTCAACTCGATGGCACCTAACAACAACACAACAAAAAAATTGCTGCCTTTTAATTGTGGTCTTGCTGAAGAATATTGAATATACAACGAACTGCCAAAAAGAACAAGTAAATCTCTCTTGGAAATGGACTGAGAGTGCTCCTTGGGATAAGAATAGCAATGTGTAGTCTCATGTCTTGGGCATGTTATCAGAAGGGACAAGTGTCTGGAAAATAACAACATGTGTGGAAATTAGAAGGTCAGTCCAAGAGAGGAAGAGTCTCAAAGAAATGGATAGATACAGGAAGCCAGATTTCATACTAAATATTTGTAATAAACCAAATGCTATTTCAGGATTTGAGGGAGGCGTGGATACCAGCTGGAATTCACCCTGAAGCACTCAGGCAAACTTTAGATGTTTCCAGGGGTAGGCATTAAGGCAAACCTTAAGCATTTACAGGATTTTTGTATTTGCTAACCCCTCCCTCCTAAGTCAAGCATAAGGTTTTCTATAGAAAGAGCTTAGCTTCCTTTGCATTGAATTCTCTTTGTGATTTGCTCCCAGCAGTTTTCAATAAAGGTGCAGAGAAGCTGGAATCTGACCCTTCAGTTGTTGGAGAACTACTTGCCTCCTGTTTTGCCTCTGTTTTCTCATACATTCCTGGTGTTGTGTCTCGTTATTAATACTTATTAATATACTTTACCCTTGGTCTGCAACAGCAGCAGCGGGGGAAAGTGTAGCAGGGGCTGTGGACATGGCCAAGGATGGGACCCAGCAGCCCGACAACATGGTGCTTTCTTATTAACAACAGTGATTGTAACTGTGTGGACTTTACAAGGGAAGGTTTAACCACAATGACTAGTTAAAATTCCTAGTCTCAAAGACAAAGGGTCATTCTAGTTCTTTTGTATCTTGGTTACCACAGGGAGCCTAGATGGGGGTTCCATGTCTTAGAAGCAAGTCAGGGACCAAGCAAACCTGTCTGTCAGGGCTCTCCTGCCTGTTTTCATCCAAGCCTATATGAGAGCAAACCAGGTGGAGATTTGTCTGTACCTGGAGAGCACAAAGAGGACAAAGCAAGGTACAGAAACAGCCAGCTGCAGGGTGCGCCAGTCCTGGATGGCGAAAGCGAGTCCTCCCAAGAGCATGTTCCCGAGGCTGACGGCACTGTAAAGCAGGGACATCTCCATTGACCGATATTTGGGCAACGTCCATTCAAAGGCTGGAAGAAAACACAGAGGTCATATTCATTTCAGGCCACAGGTCATTTCAAGGCCAATTTCAGGCATAGGGATAAAAAGACGTCTAAACTATTGACTTACTGAGGAGGAAAGCATTTATCATCACATTTGTGATACAGAGTCCGGACAAGAAGCGTAAGGCGCAGTAAACGAGGAAGGTGGGAGCAAAGGCCACACTCGTCGCTGAGACGGCGAGCTGCAGCAAACAGCATCTGAATATAAACTTCCGTCCAAACCTGAGAAGTAGACGTAAGATTATTTGAGGACAAAAATAACATGTGATAAACTTGATAAAAGGCCCAGAGTTAGGTGAAGCATCTTTCAAAGTTCCAAGTTTGGCAAAGACTTCTTACTCCAACCACAAGGAGGTAGAGGTCAATTGCGTCGTTAGAAAGCTCAGCTGCGACAATGTTTGCAACCACACAAGATCACCATCACTTCTGACAGCAACTGCAGGTTCAAAGGGCTTTCCCTAAACCACCCTCACATGCAAGAATTTGCTCAATGAAGATTGTCAAAATAAGTATCAGCAGCAAAGGATAAAATTACAGCCAAAGGAGGAAACACAGGGCGTAGACTTAGAGATTGCAAACGTGAAGCTCCTGTGATCCTCAGGGCTGGAGTGCGACCTCAGCATTAATATGTGACAATATGCATGACAAATTGTCAACCTAGCAAGATCACTGGGGCTTTGGCGTTAAAAGGTTTTAATGAGAAAAACTGGATGAAATATGTTTACGGCCTTGAAGTCTATGGGGGAGAGAATAGTCTAAAAGTATTATATTTTAGGGCATTATTTTTATCGTAGGAGTATGCAATGAGGGTTGCAGAGTGGATTATATTTGGGGGTAGGGGGTGGGGCTTGGGGAGGTGCGGGGGGATTGTGTACCAATGAGGGAGTTTTTCTTTTGCTTTTCAAGGAGAGGAGCAAAAGGGAGGGGGGAGGGGTTTGTGCGGGGAGAAGGGTGCAACAATGAATGAATGGAATCCCAAAATCTCTGTAGATGTTCATTGAAATGAAAAATAAACAACCTAAATTTAAAAAAAAAAGGTTTTAATGAGACTTCGTCATATAGGCCTGCCTGACTAGGCATTGCTTACATGCACTAATATCACATGAAAGAAAGTTCCTATCCTTAATCATATTGGTTAGGTTTTTGACATTACCAGCTCCTCCCACTCTAAGGCTGTTGGGTGTGGCTTGTCCCACCCTGGATCATCTAATTAATATAGATGCGGAATGTCTTCTTCTATTTTATCAACTATGCAAAGGCATTTGACTGTGGGTCACAACAAATTGTGGTGAACACTGAGACTAGAAAACTTGATTCTGCTCATGTGAAACCTATACTGAGACGAAGAAGCTGTTGTCCTAACAGAGCAAGGGAACAGTATTTTTACATAGTCCATAAATCACAAGTAGACATTTTTTAGGATTCTCTGCTTTCATCCAAGATCTGTCTTCTATTAACAATGGAACCCCTGATTTGACAGACTGTTCTGAATCCATGTGAATTTCTGGCAATTCTCTGTCGATGTACCACTTCAGCCATTTAAAGACAATCTTCAGCAAACTTTTACCCGAGTGTGATATTTTTAACTTTTTAATATTTTTGAATTGTGAAAGTTTATAGGTCATGTTGAATTTTCATCCAGTCATTCTCAATTTGTTTTATGTTAATTAAAATTCATTAATTACAGCATCTGTTCAGACTCATTACATATTGCTTTTTCCTTTACCCAGCTTGTTGTTATTGTGTCATCACGTCACCTGCAACTCATAGCAACCCCATGCACAATAGCTCTGAACCGTGTCCTATCTTGAGCCAATCTTATTGTCTCCAACACACCTGCCCCCATTGCCTCAGTTATTATGTCAATCCATCTCATCAGGGTCTTCCTCTCTTGGGCTGTCCTTCCATTCTTCCAAGGATGATGTCCCTCTCCAAGGACTGGTACCTCCTGGCAACATGTCCAAAGTATGTCAGCCAGAACTTCAAAAACCTTGCCTCCAAGGAGCAACTTGGTTTCACCCTCTCTAGGACAGACCTAGTTGTTCTCTTGAGCTCCTTCCAAAAGCATGTGGGGAAAATTATTACTAAGGGAGCTCTGGTGCCTACTGGTAAGAAGCTTCCCTGCAATCCCTAAGGCATGTGGTTCCAGTGCACCCGCTGCTCTGCCAGAGAAGGTTGGGCAATCGTCTCACCTGCGGTTAACTGCCTCTGAAACCTGGAGGTTCAGCTGTGAGTCATTTCCAATTCAGCAACATGTAACAACAAGTAGTATTAGCAGTTATTATTTGCTAATCAGAGTAGTTATTAGGGAAATGGCAACTTCCCCCTCCCAAAGACAAGGAGGAAGTTATTAAGAATAGTGATAAGTAGGAAGTGAATAATAAAAGTAGTTATCAGTAATTATTTTACAGCAACTTATTGTTAATGTATGATTGGGGAGGGGGGCGGAGTTAATTCTTCAAGTATGAAAGGGCCAATCACTGGAACAGCCAGGGAGAGTGGCCTGTGATATAAGAAATTAAGGAATATGGTACTTCCTCCTTTTGGGGATGTGCTGTATATGTCTTGAAAATTCTAACCCCTTTGTGTCTAAAACCCTATTCTGGAGCAAATGATTTATCATGTTAATAAGGTGGGATTGAAGTGGAATGTATCCTGAATCCCCACCTTACTAGAAGGTATGTCTCAAGTCACTATCCTTAGTTCTTTCAGAAGTGTGGTTTATAGCCTTGAGACCGCAAGTAAAAGAATACTCTTGGAAAGTTCTTTTTCTCTCTGGACACTGCATCTGCCCTGGCCCAGCTCTTACGAGAGCAGAGAGCCTACAAACCACAGGTGACAGTCTGTAAACACCCAGCACATCATTCCTTCACCTCTGCAACCATGTGCATTAGCCTGTACCATCCACGACCATGTGAGCATGTCCTTGATGGTTTCCAAGTCTCTGCAGCTAGTTACAGAACCCAAAGATATAGACGGGAATGAGAGTGCTGAGGGGAAGAGGAGTAACGTGATGGAGTGGTAGAGAAATCTGGGAAAGCTGGACTTTGGAATACTCTTAACTTCTGTCTACGTTGTTGTTAGGTGTCATCGAGTCATTATGACTCATAGCAACCCTGTGAACAACAGGCCTGAACCCAGTCCATTCTTGTGCCGTCCTCATCGTCTCTGACACACTAGAGTCCATCACTAAAGTCACTATGTCAATCCATCTCGTTAATGGTCTGCCTCTCCTCCACTGATCTTCCTTCCATCTTGCCAAACATTCCCTTTGCAAGGAATAGCCTTGCCTAGCTACATGTCCAAAGTATGTGAGATGCAGTTTCACCATCTGTGCCTCCAAGAACATCCTGGCTGCCCTTTCTCCATGACATATCTGTCTGTTCTTTTGGCAGTCCGTGGGATATTCAGCACTCCTCTCTGGCACCGCAACTCAAAGGCATCAATTCTGCTTCTGTCGTCCTTAGTCATTGTCCAGCTCTCTGATGCAAAGCAGGTGATTGAGAAGAAGACCATGACTTGAGTGAGGCTAACCTTAGTCTTCAAACTAACATCATTGCTTGAAGTATTTTGGAGAGGTGGTAAACTCATCCAATGCAGTATGTCTTCTGATTTCCCAACTGCCAGAACAAGGGTGCTGATTTTTTTCCTTTTTATTATTAAATTTTATTAATTTTAATGAACATTTACAGAGATTTGGGGTCTTCATTCATTCATTGTTGCACTATTTTCTCTACCCTCCTCCCCAATTTGTTCTTTTTCCCCCCCTTCCTTGAAAATCTGTTTTAATTGTCCAATTGCCACAGTGCTTGACGAAGCCAGTTCTGATTAATCTCCTTTGTCAGTGTGTCCTTTGCCATTCCCTATCACTCCTCCCTGAGAGAGACTTCAAGGGTGCTGATTGTTGATCCAGGCAAGATGAAACCATTGACAGCTTCACCCCTTTCTTCTCCTATCCTAATGTTGACTGTCGGTCCTGTGATGAGGACCTTTGTTTTCTTGATGTTGAGAAGGAATCCATACTAAAGGACTGTAGTTCTTGATCTTCTGCCATCTCTTGGGACTAGTTTTGTATTAAACCTTTTTAAATTTATCCACCCCTTGTCACAAGTTCTGAGTTCCTATTTACAAATGGCATTGGGCTGAGGAATGTTCAGCACATTTCAAAGTTCAGGGCATTTAAAAATTCAGGGCATAAAAGTACCCTCATGGATGACATGCTTGAGAAATGACAATGGTTGACTGCTTGCTCCAAAAAGAGTTTTTTGAGGAAATGAGAAATCTCATACTTTTAATTCCTTAAGCTATGTGAACTTTTTTTGCATTATTTTATTATGTGGTAACAAAAGTCACATTAAAGCTGATCGATCAATGTAAGGATCCAGGTTACCGTCGTTATTTCTTAACAAATCATCAGACCCTCATTGCTCCAGACTCTCACTAGTTTAGAAAGATAACCATCCATCATGTGCATTGCAGCTGTTGTACTTACAACCAGTTTGTAGGTGCTGCTAACAATTTAGCTTAGAGTGCCTGGGTGAGTCAGAACATGGTCAAGATGAAAAAAAAATCTTTCTGTGCTTTTTTAAAACGCAGTACTTTCTGTCTCAACCTTTCTTTTTCTGTGCAAAAGATGATTTTGTGCTTGAAAAATATGTCCTGGAATTTACCTGAATATCCTTTCCTAATTCTGTGTGTATATACACACACACATTATAATATCCTAATTTGTATGTCCCTTTTCTTGCTTCACTCATCACACTGAGATTTATTACATAAAATATACTAGATTTATCAACTTGTTATGTGCCGTTTAGTCACCCATGACTCATAGTGACCCTATGTACAATGCCCCTGAATTTTGCACTATTCTGAGCCAGTCTCACTGACTCTGACACACCTAATTCCATTACCTCAGTTACTGTGTCAGTACATTTCTCTAGGGTCTTCATCTCCTGCACTGTCCCTCCACCCTTCCAAACATGATGTCCTTCTCCAAGAACTGGTCCCTCTTGGCCCCGTCTCCAAAAAATGTGAAATGGAGCTTCAAAATCCTTACCTCCAAGGAGAAACTTGGTTTCACCCTATTCAAGACAGATCTTTTTGTACTCTTGGTGGTCCAGGGTATGTTCACTATTCTTCTCCAGCACCACAAGTCAAAGACATCAATTCTTCTGTTATCCTTAGTCATTATCCAGGCCTCTGATGCGTAACAAGTAATTTCAAAGGCAAGGCCTGGATCTGGTGCACCTTAGTCTCTAGACTGACATCATAGTGCTGTAGCACTTTGGAAATATCCCTGACAATAAATTTCCCCAATAAAATTCATCTTTTAATTATCTGGCCGGTGTCAAGAGTGTAGATTGTGGAGGCGAGTAAACAGAAATTGTTAGCAACCTCAATCTCTTCTCCATCTATCAAGGAGCTACCAATTGGCCCAGTGGTGATCTTCGTCTTCTTGATGTTAAGCTCCAACCTATATTGAAAACTATAGTCTTTGACCTTCTGCAACAAATGCTACAGGTCCTCCTCAGTTTTAGCAAGCAAGGTTCTATCATCTACATAACACAGGTTTTTGATGAAGCTTCCTCCAATCCTGATGCAACACTTCTCATAAATCCCAGCCTCCCTAATGATTTGTTTCACATACAGATTGAAAAGGTATGGAGACAGGATGCATCCCTAATGGACTCTTTCCCTAATTTTGAACCATGCAGTGTTTTCTTTGTTCTTAGGACTGGTCCAAGTTCCTGGTCCAAGTTCCTGGTCCAAGTATGGGTTTCGCCTGAACACAATCAAGTGTTCTGGGATTCTCATTTTTCTCAAGGTTAGCCACAGTTTGTTGTGATCTACATAGTCAAATGCCTTTGCATAGTCAATGAAGCAGAGATAGACATACAAAGTTATAATTTCCAGTTTAGAAATAAAGCATTATATCCAGATTATATCTCTAAAAAGACAGAATTTAGCATCCAGTTCAGGGAAAGGAACATGTATAGATTTCATCAAACATTTATTAAATGAAGCAGAGTATGTATCAAAGTGTAAACAGCCTAGAAGAAAATGAAAGTGACACTCACCTGTCTGTCAAATAACTATATGTTGCTACTCCCACCAAAGACCCAGTCATGACAAGAAATTGAGCTACTGATATTAACCACCGAGATTCGCATACCAGGTCCCACTGGAAGAGAAAGAAAGAAAGAAAAAAAAAAAACCAAAACCACAGAAATTAAAGTGAAATGAAAATGCTTTGGTAGAAACTAACAATGAACTCGTAAGTGTGAATCCAAGCATCTCTGCTATGTGGGCCTTGACTTCTTATGCAGGTCCATCTATAGGTACTGTTCCTTGATATCTTACCCTCTGAATTTACTGGATTTATTGTAAACCTTCACATTTCAGCCAGTTGTCTCTTACTTAAAACCTTCCAGGATCTCTAACTATATCTAAATATTCTTTTCTATTCCCCATAAACACCACTACTATATGTATTACATTAACTTATAGACATCTTTATGTATTATATAACTATATACTTACATAGATACTTAATGTCCTATCTCAAGTGTGACATCCTCTAGGAAACTTTCTCTGATACGGTGGTTAATATTAAGCCCACACCTTGGTTTTCATTTCTAATCTGGATTGTTGTTGTTGTGTACTGTAGAGTTGGAGCAGACCCATAGCTGACCCTCCAGTGGGTTTTCAGAGGCAGTTAATCACACAGGAGGAGATTGCCCATCCATCTCCCACGGAGCGACTGAATTACACATAAAATTACTCAAGGAGTTGGAAAAAAATTTGATGTCTAGCTTCTGTGCCCAAACGTTTTTATTTAGTTGGTCTTGGGAATGTGAACAGGCATCAACTTTAATAAGAACTGAGAATCACTAACTGCGTATAACATCAGTCACATGGCATTTCAATTACTTTTCTTTTTAAAAGAGTATGTCTTTCTCATTAGATTAAAATACTTATAATAGGAAGGTTCATGCTTTTATACTCAACTGGTTATCCTCAGTGCTAAAGTACTGCTTGCTGTGTGTTGTCCACTTGGAAGAAACCCATAGCTGACCCTCCAGTGGGTTTTCAGATGCAGTAAATCATCTGGGAGGAGATTGATTGTCCATCTTTCAACCATGGAGCAGCTAGAGGATTTGAACTGTGTGCCTTTGAGATTGCAGCACAGCTCCTTACTACTAGGCCACCAGAACTCTCTAAGACCATCCCCAAGAACCAAAGTATTGTTTGTTGTTATTGTTACGTGCCATCAAGTTGCTTGAGACTCATAGCAACCCTATGTACAATAGCTCTAAAATCTGTCCTATCCTGAGCCTATCTCACTATCTCTAAAACACCTGCTCCAATTACCCCAGTTACTGTGTCAACCCATCTTATACATGGTTTTCCTCTCCTGTGCTATCCCTCCATCTTTCCAAGTATTATGTCCTTCTCTAGCAACATGTCCAACATATGTGAGACAGAGCTTAAAAATCCTTGCCTCCAGAGAGCAACTTTGTTTCACCCTCTACAGGACAGACCCATTTGTTCTCTTGGAAGTCCATGGTATGTTCAATACTCTTCTCTAGCACCACAACTCAAAGACATCAATTCTTCTTCTGTCATCCTTAGTCACTGTCCAGCTCTCTGACACATAGCAAGTAATTGCGAAGACCATGTACTGGATAAGGTACACCTTAGTCTCTAGACTGACATCTTTGAACTTCAGCACTCTGGAGAGGTCCCTGACAGCAGACTTCCTCAATACAGTTTATCTTTTGATTTCTCAGCTGCTGATTCCAAGAGTGTTAATTGTGGACCCAAGCAAGCTGAAATTGTTAACAATCTCAATCTCATCTCCATCTATTGTGGTGCTACCAGTTGGCCCAGTGGTGAGAATCTTTGTTTTCTTAATAATGTGCATCAAATAAGCCATTAGTATCTGTTAAAGAAATGTTGAAAGAGCTTAACCACAGTATTCACTTAGGTAATAAATACTTAGCATGTGGTCATTCTGCTTATTAATCCCAAGCTCTCCAATTACACAAGCAGAAAAAATGAAAATTTGGTTTCTTACCTCAGTCACAATAGTTGAGTGGAAGGAACTTCGATCATATACCCAGCCGTCCACACAGGGCTCCAGATGTGATTCATTCATATTGGAAAAAGTTTCATTAGGGTGAAAAAACTGCCACTGGGGCTGTAGGAAACGACGACACTTCTCTGGTCTCAGGTTCGAATCCAATGGAATGAAGATTTGCAAGAGAGCATCAGGGTTGAGTCCCATAGTGTCATTAGCTGAGACTGTGTCATTGTCAAGGTTGTGAACCCAGCAGCGATGATCCGGGGTGGCAGCAGTGATGGTTTCCAGGAACATTTGCATTTGTGTTACCACTAGAGAGACTAAAAACAAAATCAGCTGAAGTATCTGGGCTCTCCCCAGGCCTCCAACTTGATTCAGAATCTCCTCAAAGGCCATCAAGGCAGAATAAGTAGTTTCCACAAGAAAGGCACAGGGACTTATGGAAAGAAGTTTAAAGGGAAAAAACGTTTCCAATCACTCAGGCAGTGTTGACCCTACTGTTGCTCTCTCTTCAATGACTCTCACTTCACTACTATAACAAGACAATTTTGAAAAGTTTCCCTAAGTCCTTTTGGGTTCAGGTTGGCTGTTGGGTTATTCAATATTCTTCACTAACACCACAGTTCAAAGTTATCAATTCTTTAATCTTCAACAAAATCACAGAGACTTCTAAATGTACAAGACTAGTTTAAAAGACTTATGTATAAATATTGCTGCTCTTAGAACTATCTGCAAAATAAACACTGAACTTTCAGGCAGAAATATGCTCCAAACAAAAATACATTTGTTCAATGATCTGTGATTCTCTTCAGGAAAGGGATGTTTGGAGTCTCAAGGCTGAGCCACTTTATTCTTTTCCAGTGTAAAGAACAGAGAACTGGGCTTTTATTGGTTAGACTGAAATTTTTAACTTGAGTTAATTTTAAGTGAAATGGAATGTTGAGTATAAACACTAACTTAAGATAAGTCTAGGTTTAGTAGATCATTTTCTGATTTTAACTTTCTTAAAACAAGGAACTAGGAATAATGGAAAATGAATGTAATAAATTATTTTAGTGAATTTATTGATTTTTTAATTGTTTTCAGTTTTCCTATGCCTCAAAGATCTTATATCCTAGGATGAAACAGAGGTGCATACATAATTAATAAAATAAAGGAGTATACATGATTAATCTAAAATCTCGTAATTCCATGAAGCATACACACTATCTCCTCAAGCAGTAAAGAAAAAATATTTAATGCTCCCTTAACAGTTTGTGGAGGACAAAGAAATAAATCATCCTTATATAAATTACTTTTATCTAAGTCTGAAATTTTATATCTTGAGATATGAAGAAATAGATGATGAAAGGAAAAAATACAATTTCCATCTGAGCAAATAATAATGAAAAAATTATAGTAAAATTGTTTGGCAAATTGTGTCACTGAAGGATATTCAAGAGTTAAAAATTAAAAGACACTCAGGTAAAAATTGTAAAAAGCAAATTGAAAAAAAATTTTACTTAATCTTATAGACTGTTGTTTTGTGCCATCAGGTTGCTTGCACTTCATAGCATCTCTATGTAAAATGCCTCTGAACCCTGCTCTATCTTGAGCCAACCTTACTGTCTCTGACACACCTACCCCTGTTACCCCAGTGACTGAGTCAATATGTCTTGTACTGTCCCTCCACCCTCCCAAGCATGATGTCCCTCTCCAAGGACCTGTCCCTCGTTGCAACATGCCTATAGTATAGACTACAGGTTGTCATTCTTGAATTTAAAGATGTAAGAGTTAAGCAGACTAATACAGAAGCTCCCTGGATTAAAAAATTATTTCATGAGTTTACAAGAGAATCTTCTGTCTGATGCATGTATGTTTGCAAGAGAAAAAAACCCTGTCTTAAGGAGATGTGTGTGTATACACGTGCAAACTTTGTTTCTCCTGCTACCTCCTGATCAACTGAGGTTTTAGAATCAGAGAGGGTAAGCAAATACGAAAAGAAACAGTAAAAACATCTTGGGCCCCAATTAACATATTTTACTGCTTATGTAATGAGAAACTTCTCAACTAAAGCTGTGAGGATGTACAGGTCAGAACACTCAACTCTGAGTTTCTCTCCTCTTCCCTTCTTTCTTCTTCTCCTCCTCCTTCTTCTTCCATGCAAACCTCTTTCAAGTTTTATTTCACACCAGAACACCTACAGGCACCAGAGCTAAAGATGGTACACTGTGGCTTTCTTCATTTCACCTACTATGAAAAGCCAACTCTGACTTGGTGTCCAACATTCTTACTCTGGGAGTCTCCTCAGAAGAGCAAAGGATGCTTTCTCTAGCTTGGAGAGCTCATGCTTACACTCTGAAACATTTTCTACTGGACTTCCAAGTAACCAAAAACGTGAACAAGACCACTTACTTCACTTGCCCTTACGCTGAGAACACAGCACAAGGTGATCCGTACCGATAGCTTCGTGCTTACTGCAGTGCTTATTTCTCCTCTTTCCAAAGAAGGTTACTCTGTTGATCCACGGATAACAAAAGGCCTAAAGTATTCGTGACAAACACAAAAGCCATTATGCCAAATAAACCTAAAGTCTTCCAATGAAGCATCACTTGAAAGAAAGAAAAAACACCACAAAACAAGAACAAAAAGTGGGATGATGGTTTCAGCTTGCTCTTCTCATGCTGCTGACGTCAGGGAGAGCTTATTTCTTCTTCAGTTGAGAATTTGATATTTTTTCTTTCAAAGAAGAGCTGTCCTGAGCTTTCGAGAAGTATCTGAGCCATATAAGGAGAATGAGTGCTGGCAAAAGCTGTCAGCAGAGGCAAGTCATTAGGTTCAATGCCCAGCACAACACCCAGTTTTTTCACATGGACTCGTCTGTGTCCTTGGAGATATCCAGACAGCATTTTACTTTTCAGGTGCATCTTCTGTAGTCTATCTTCAAGATGCATGACACAAAAGTCAGCAGGGAGGTGGAGCTTGTAAAGCTGCAAATTTAATTGAAATAAACTGGACACCTGGCTTGAGACCAGAACATCTTGACCCAGTTTCACACTGTCCATCACTTTCCTCTGACTCCTGGTGACCTGGACACTCCACTTACCTGTGTCTGCAGTAATACAGACTGCTTCAGCTGTCAGCCCATCAGGCATAAGATGACATACAGTATGGACTAGATCTGCCATCCGGCACTGCTTTAGCTTCTCATTGTTGCTGGTTCCATGGAGCACCAGATGAGGCATGTGTTGGGGGCACTAACCCGCCAAGAGTAACCGGCAATGTTTCTCAAACTCTGGTTGCTTCTCTGGGACCTTGGTAGAGGAAGCTCGACCTCCAAGGACTTCTCAGTCCTTTCACTGCAGTGTCAGTGTGGCTGAAGCACATGTTTCGTCATTGCTGTCTCCAAGAGCACTGTCTGAACTTTCATTTCTAGGAATTTCTCCTTTAGTTCTGCAGTCCACTTTCCTGTTGGCATCACCACAGGGACATCTGCAGTGAACAAGAGGATACAGTCATGTTGTAGAGGCTCTAACAAAGGTTCCTCCACACCATTCAAACACAAACCTTTCATTTTCTCCAAGGTTTGTGTTCTGGTTCCAGCAGCAATGTCAGAGGGTGCGTGTGAGTAAGCAGGTTGGTTCAGCTGACCAGCAACATCTCCTTCCACGTTTGTTCCAATATCTCTGCCTTCAGCAAAATAACTGTCAAGTTTACCTTCAACCCCCTTAGAAGACTGCTTCTGAGGACAGCAGACATCTTCATGAAAGTCAGCATGAAAGGAGCCTCTCAAAGCCTGCTGGTCCTGGGTCATGCTGGCCGTCACTCTGGACTGAGCTGAGGGATGAGTGGCAAACTTTGGACTTTAGCTGCTCCTCCATTTTCATGGTATGACTTTCAAGTTTGGACTCTGGAGATAAGGAGCTCCTATCCGGGTACTGCCCCAATATATCAAAACAGTTCCACCAAGAGAAGGGACGAGGATTAAATGAAGATGCAGAGAGACTAATCGTTGATCACGAATAGCAAATCTTTATTCTCTAGACCAAGTATATATAGGTTTCTAGAAACATGCCTGCAGGGGTAATCACATTATCTCATATCTGTCTGAGATGTTTACTGTCAGGTCAAACATTCCCAGACCTCAACACAAAACAAATATATCACATTCCTCCATTCTTTTTTTTTTTAATTAATTTAGTTTGTTTATTTTTCATTTCAATGAAACATTCCTCCATTCTGAGACCTTTGGTCACTCCCTATTCATTACCATCCTGCTTCCTTGAGTTGCTTACTGCCAATCAAATGTTCAAGCCAAGATGGAATCAGTCATACTGGTTTTACAATGCATTGCTAATCTTGTTTTGCAAGTTAGCCAGGCCCCCAACAAGCTCATAATCTGGAAAGTGAACTTTTCTAGGGGAGGAATTCCGTGAGAATGTCTGTCAGGACAAGACCAGGCCACTGACTGGTCTGGTGACTTCTTTGGCATTTCTCCTCTCAACTTCTCACTGACAGTTTGCTGACTGATTTTTAGTCCTGCCCTCAGAACTTCAGAACTGGACAGTCTCAAAGAACCATCTCCTGTTGTGTCTTTATTACATCCTTCCTCTCCACTCATGCCTTGATGCTGCCAGGAGCTGCCCAAGCTCTATTCTTGGAAATCCATGCTAAAGGCATCAGAACTCTCCTCTGAACTCTTGCTTCCTTCTCTGTCAGATGTGCAACTCAGATCTGCAATGCCAGTGCCTTCTGGGGTTTCTGCCATCCTCGAGGTTTCCTGGTTCCTCCTTTCAGTCATTCATGGTAGGATGGCGGTGGGGTTACAAGAGCTTGCTCATTTCTCACTGTAAGTACCATGAACTCGGACTCCTCTATCTCACCTTTCTCCAAGGCTGTTGCTATCCTTGGAACAGAATATAAGTTCCAGTTAGTCCCTCTCCCAAAGCTTCCATCAAACGGGTAACACAAAACTGGACTGGGTGACTGGATTCTGCTATCTTGCTACAGGAGATCATGACCTTTTCAGTTGAACTCTTCAGCCTGTTCTTGTGAGATTCTAATAGGGGGAAATGCGGGGGAGGGGAGAAGGAGTCTTGGAAATCCCTTTGTGCTTCTTCTTTCTCACTCAGGGAAAAGAGGATGCTGATAGGGAGCTCTGGTGGCCTAGTGGCAAGAAGCTGCACTGCAATCCCAGAGATGTGCAGTTCGAATCCACCAGATTCTCTGCTAAAGAAGGAGGGACAATCTCCTCCTGTACCAGTCAGATCTGATTTGATGGTAGACACACAAAAACTGGAGGGGGGGGGGTGGAGGTGAAGCTGATGGCAATTTTCTCCCTCTGCACTATGGCTGGATTAGAACTGCAGGTTTACTCAGCCAAGCTGAATGTCTCATCAGTTGACCTCCTTGGAATG